GCAATAAATTTACAATTCACAATGTAAATAAACAAGAAAGATCACAAAGCATAGGCTTTCAAAACTCACAGGAAAAAAATTAAAGTTAATGGGTAAGAAGAGGCAAAATACTAAAGGATAAAATCTGGAACTAAGAAAACAAATTGCTGGAAAATTAAGGTAGAGAACCAGTTTTGAGACATGACTTAGTAAGTCATCTCTTATTCAATCCTCAACTCATAACTTAGATAAATTAAATTTTGGAAATGATACATATTCCTATGCAGGCTAAACATTTATCAGGTACGAGCAAATTAAATTACATAATACTTCATTACTTGGGAAGCAAAGTTAACAATAAAAATTTTATTTTGATATTCCTATATTATTGGTAAAGATAATGGGAAATCCCAGGGATTAAGTGGCAGATGATTTAATATTTAAAAAAATTTACTATTGTACTGGGAAAGACAGATTACACATCCCTTTTTGATAACTGATACCTTGGTTTAGTTATGTAAAGTTGTAAGAAATGCATTATTATCCCTATGTGCAAGTGTGACTCCAAAGAACAAGTATTGATTCTGTGATTTGGTTTTCAAACTACTGTAAGAGAGGTTTGAAAACTTCATGGTCATTTGTAACTGTACCTCTTTGACATGTGACTGCCTGACATATTTGCAATATATTATAGAGAATGAGAAAATAGAATTTTTTTTCTTCCAATAGCAACAACTTATTACAAACCCATCAAGTTTTAAGAGTTGATTTTTGTAGCATTTTCAAGAATGGAAAAAAATAAAACTTACTGACTCTTATTGCTTTTCTCTGAGTATTAAAACTTAAACATTAAGTCAAATGGCTATATTGGGTATTCTCAAGTACCAGTTCAAGAAAAATGTTTTTTTATTATTTCTCAAACATAGCAATGCATGCCTCCTAAATAATAAGCAAAAAGAAAATTATTTCAATTTTACAAAATTTTATACTGCTGCTACCCTGAAGGGCTTTCTTGAAGGAGCATCCAACTGTAGCAGTTTCAGTAACTTGAGAGGTGCACCATAACATTATTCACCTCAGTTCTTTAGTCAGTGAAAGGTATAGTTGCCTTGAACCCTGGGGCTGGGCATTACTGTCAGATACATTTCATAATCAAACTGTTTTTATGTTAACCTTAAATTGATTTAACTGTACAAACTCCAAGGGCACTTTTATGTTTTAAGACATAGTATATTTTCAAAAGTACCTAGGAAAAGAAAGGAACAGTGTGTCTGGTAAGTTGTTTCATAGAAAAGAAACATTCAATATTGATAAAAAATAAAAATTAAAAGAGCACAAAATCTATAGTTTTGGTATGGTCACATGAATTCAAATGATCTGCTTAATCTAACTCCATTAAAAGCTCAACTACTGGGTGTGGTGGCGCATGTTTGTAATCCCAGTGGCTTGGAGGCTGAGGCAGGAGGACTGGGAATTCAAAGCCAGCTTCAGCAAAATGGAGGCACTAAGCAACTCAGTGAGACCCTGTTTCTAAATAATACACAAAAAATAGGACTGGGAATGTGGCTCAGTTGCTGAGTGCCCTGGAGTTCAATCCCTGGTTTCCCCACCACCCAAAAAGTTCAACTGTCATTTGCCTGTGACCTGGTAGCACAATAAATAGGGACAGCAACTACATAAACCGGATCTTGAAAAATACATCAGCTAAATAAAATTTTGAATGATATTTCAATAGTTTATTACAACAATGTGGAACCATTTAATTCCTGATAATTCACTTGAAACATATTCCTAACTACTTGTATTTTAATTCAAAGACAAAAAAACTTCCATATCCAATGGTCAATTTCCAGTGTACCTTTTGCTTTAGAAATGACTAACTGCAAGTTTAATAAATCACTATATAAATTAATACTCCCACAGCACTTCTCAAAACCAGAACAACTTCTGAGGCTGCAACAATACCCTGTGTGTATGAACAACAAGTGCATTCTCTAAATATGCATGAAAATAACTATAGTTAATATTTAATTGCACCGTTTGTTTCTTACACAAGGCTAGTGGCTTTACATACCTAATCTTTAATCTTCACAACTCCATAAACTGAACATTATCATCCCATTTTACAAATGAAGAAACTTCATTGAGGCTCAGAGGGATCATACAGGTACTAAAAGAATGTAGAGACCTGCTGTATTTTCAGAAATCAGCCTTTTCTGCATGTAAGGCACAAGATATAAAAGCATCAACTGCCCAATTTATCAAAAAGTCATCAAGGTTTGAAAAATATCATGTCCAGTTATGTATGCTGTGGGTACTTACTGGGGAACTAAAGGGAATTCCCTTCCAAAGCTATGTATTACATTTTTATATTAACACATACCCAAATTTCTTCCTGGTCTTGGATATACAGATTTATTTAGATTCTGTATCTGGATGTAATAGTTCAGGGGTACAGAAGATCACTAAACTAGTCTTTTCAGACCCAGAGGAAATGATCTAACAGTTAAACCTTCTATATTTTTTCAAACCCAAATTTACTAAGACTCAAAAATGGGTCTAGAATATGTAAAAACAAATCCCACTACGTATATTTACAATGAATACAAGAAAAAAAATGCGGTGGAAAAAAGCAAAATAACAACAAAAGAAATGGGCCTGGAAGTTTATCTGTGATTATGGGCATGTTACTACAGACTACAGAATCCATTATTTAAATTCATTCTCCCAGGTAAAACAAACAAACAAAAACCAGAGTGTATATTTAAAGAAGAGCATTCAATCAAAATCTGATGAATTATGATAGAATACTCGAAGATACCCAAATATGCCAAATCTTGAAAATTGATGTGTGCCCAATTATTTTGGTCAAACTGGCAGCCTACTAAATATTTCATGGGTGTTACTGATTTGAATATTATAAGTAGGTGGACTTTTTCAGTTTTACTTTAAACAGCTTTTTATTAATATTCTTGTAACCAATGAATGACATTTAAGCTAAAAGCAAAGAGGTTTTTTTTTTTTTTTCAAAGTTACAACTAGGCAAACTACAATCCTAGATATACATAAAAATTTTCTCGGGAAATTTTACAAGAAAAATAATTTGCTATTTACTAAGCTTATTCGGGGAAGCATCTCATCACCTTTTACTTAGTTGACTTGTTATCCCAGGACAATTACCCTTCCAGGGGCATGATATTTTCAACAATTTAAGTTGCTTTATAAAAGCAAGCTCAAATAGTGGCACTCCTCTGCACCTAACAATCACACAAAAAGAAACAGAAACAACAGCAAAAAGACTTCAAACACGTTGGGATTTGGGGCACAGTCTAAGGCTCAAGCATAATAGTGTGTGTAAATCTGATCCCCGGGGTCCGTGGCACTGACAGCCGTTCAACTTTAAAAAAAAAAAATATTCCCAGTGTGCATTTTCCTTGTACCACAGGCAAGATACACCTTTAGTTAACCAACTGGTGGTCGAAATGACTTATTTCCTTTTTTAAAATTCTCGAGTGCAAGGCCAGGGTTCGCAACTGTGGGACACCGGCGCCAGACACACGAGAGCAGAACCACGCACGGAACCCGCTCCTGGAAGGCCTGCTGTGTAGGTTCCTCAGTCCCTGGGGCTGCAAGAGCAGCTGCAGCAGCAGCCATGGCAGGGCCTCGGGAACCTTTCCCCTGCCTCCTCTGCTAGGCCTCGAGGGGTTTGCTTTTTACAAGGCCCCCGGGTGGGGGTGGTGGGCACAAGATAGTGGTTGCAACTGCAGCCACGGCAGCGGGCCAGGCAAACCCGGCTCCTTCGGAACCCGACCTGCCAGCGGGCTGGCAACAGCAGGACGCAGCCGAGTCCGAGCTGGAGCGCCTACAGCTCGGCGAGGAAGGCCACCTTCTCACCCACCACATCTCTCCCCAGCTCGCCTCCTGCTCCGTTAGCGCTACCGGTTGGCGGGCGGGGGAGGGGAGCAAGGCGCGTTATTCCCGGGGAGGGGAAAGGGGGAGGGGAGGACATCTCTTACCCGCGTTACTGAGGAGGAGGAGGAGGCGGTTGGAGCGCGGCGCGGCGGGGCGACGGTGGGGCTGGGTGGGTGTAAGTAAGAGTCTTACGAAAGGGAATTAACCCCATCACCAGCCCGGACACCGGCTCCAGCGGCAGCCGCGGCGGCAGAATCCCGCCCCTTCCCACCACGCACTAGCCCCGCCTCCCCGTTCTCTTTGAGGGACAGCACTCTCCATCATAGGCTGTACATTCATGGAATGACATGAAGATCACCCAATCATTCTTGTAAAAACTGCCTTCTCTCCACCCCTTTATCTCCTCCTGGGCCTCGGGAGAGCCATGCCAAGTCTTCCTCCACCCTCAAAGGAAAAAGAACCAATCCGCGGTTAGTAACCGCCCTTGAAGGACGCAAAAGTTAACCAATAATAAAACTAGGAGGACAGCCATTTTGCCCACTTGTAAAAGAGCCACCTTTTCCCACGAGTTAGGACCCTGAGGTGGGGGAGTTCCGGGAGTTTTACCAACTGGAAATATTAAAAATAAAACAATTATACTTTTTTTCAGGGAGAATTTATAGTGATTTATAGGTACAAAGGAAAAATTTCATCCTTCTAGTGTGGAAAAGTGAGGCATGCTGCTTAGGAGTTTGCTCCTCCCCTTAGCGGTAACGGGTTCTAAGCAGAACACCTGGTTTCTGCAGCCTCAGTGGTGGAGGGCGGGGTGACTGCTTGGCCTGAGTGGACTATAGTTCCCAAGGCGCTTTGCTCCCACCAAGGCCCTGTCCTCTCTTTGCTTCCCGCGGGGCTTGACGGGAATTGTAGTTCCTGGGAGGTACCTGTGTTCTTGGCTAATAAAGAGGGACCAAGTTTTGAAGGATTTGGAAGTATTTTTCACCACTTTAAGTAAGGAGAGAATGCACACAAGAATGGTCAGGAGAATTTTCTCAGAACACTAGAGATTTTAGATTGTTGGTATTTGAACACGCCTACTTTCAGGTCTTCCCTTTAATGTCACTTCCGCTTAGGGGCGGACACAGCCTAAACCTGTGGCGGGAGTTGGAGGTTCTGCAGCGAATATACCAGGTGTGTTCCTCTGTGAGTGGCGTGTCGGGCAAGTTGCTGTGGTAGATGGGAGGTTGAACGGAGTTAACTGCATTTTAATAATGAGTAGGTGAAATTAGATGGGGGTAATTCCCAAGCCTCTGCTGCAGTTTATCACCTAGAGTCTTCAATTCCGGAATTCCAGTTTTCTGGTTTCACTGTCCGCTCACTATTAGATTGCACCTTCATATTTGTATAGCATGCGTCTTTTCGCCTTTACGGCTATGCGTGAAACACGGTTTCACTTTGTCACCTTGAACGGAGTAGGAAGTTATGAGGCAACTCCTACTTTTGTTACCGCTGAATACCAGTGAGGAGCTCTTGCTTCCTCAAACGTTGAAGTATAACACCTGAGAAGCATGCCAAGGCAAATGTAGCGTGGAAAGTTAAAGGATAGCAGAAAAGACTTGCTCACAGAGGAAGAAAGGGACCCGACAGGCAGAATCTGTGGAAGGGGGAGGTCTTCCCTTTTTTATATCTTAGGTCTTCTTTTAGTTCTCCCACATTTCTGTCCTTTGTTTCCCTCTATCCTGCAGTGATAGAATGCAGATGGGAAGGCCAAAAGGTGGAAGCTAGGTGGTCTGAGGGGGCAGGGAGGAATAATCTGGGCAGGAAGGGCCTAGGGTGTTTGATTAGCACCTCCCCATGTGCTGGGAGATACTTCATTAACAGTTCTTTAGTGTGGGTCCAGGCCTTGGGGACATTAATATTTCAATTTCCCCCTGGTATTGTTCTGGTTTCCTGGACTGTATTCTCAATAATGATCTCCATTTTCTTTATCTTACTCAGTATTCGACCCAATTTACCTAACTAGTTATCTTTAAATCTGGCTTCACCTTTACAAACACACTTATAAAAGGAGCTTTGAAGATGGAAAGTCAGATGGACTCTAGATGGATGATCATGAAGGTCCTATTACTCTTCTTTCTTTTAGTAACACATCCATCAGACAAGTAGTGAGAAGGTGCCAACTTTAATACTCTAGTGAATAAACGCGTCATTAAAAATACTTAGGAGCTAACGGCCTATAATAAGCCTACCAAATGAGGCCTTTGTTTATGCCCCTTCAGCATGCCAGGTTGACTGTGCTAATGGTCCATTTGGGGGTCTAGAGAATGTAGCAAAAATTGGGAAAGGCCTTCCCAACCCAAGACTGATTGCCACTGTCTGAAACTTTTCTCCCTTCTTTTTTACTGAGACCTTCGTTTAAAAATATTTACTGAGAATTTACACTCCTAGGCACTATACCACACTTTGGATGTAGAGCTGATACCTGAAAGATAAATTCCTTGTCCAAAAATAGAGAAAGAGGGAACAAAATTAATGGTCATGTCACATGCTTTTTCTTTCTCCCTTAATTCTGTCAAGCCTTCCTCCATCTTCTGTTTCCAATCCACCTTTACATTAAAATAAGCATATTCTTTTTCTTTATTTTTGCTGAAGCACCAATAAGCGTAAGTTCAGTACTAATAAGTGTTTTGTTTGTTTTGTCTTCTGGTACCAGGGATTGAACCCAGACGCACTTAACCACTGAGCGACCTTCCCAACCCTTTTTTATATTTTATTTTGGGACAGGGTCTGGCCAGATTGCTGAGGCTGGCTGTGAACTTGCAATCCTCCTGCTTAGGCCTTGGGAACTGCTGGGATTACAGGTCAGCACCACTGCACCAGGCTCTGAGGAGTGGTTTTTATCAAATAGATGATAAATTACTTAGGTAATCCTAGATAGAAGAATATGACCAATGTTTTAGCTATGTAGTTTTTACATCTACCAAAGTTTTACTTTTTAATGAAATTAGGATATTTTTTGATGGTGATGGGGGGGTGTGAGGAGTCCTGGGAATTGAACCCTGGGCTTCCCATATGCTAAGCATGAGCTCTATCACTGAACTACATCCCTAGCGCCCAGTTAGAATTTCTAATGATAATTTAGTAATAGAGTCTTGTATTGAAGCTTAGTTTTGTTTTTCATAAGTCTTTAAAATGTGAATCAAGTCAATAAACAGGATTGATGGCCATCATTTTACTGAGTGTTTCTTTTGAGCAGAAATAGGGTTATATGTATTTAGTATCCTTGTGTCCTTGCCACAATCTACAAGTATATATATATATTATATATATATTATATATATATATATTTATTTATTTTTGGGTGCAGGAGATTGAACCTAGGACCTCATTTATTCTAAACATGTGTTCTACAGCTTACCTATATACCAATGCCCTGTTTTGTTTTATTGTTGAAGAAATTAGGGCTTAGTGAAGGTAAATAAGACTTTAAGGCCTGAGATCCCTTATCAAAATATTTGTAGCAGAGATTCATATCCAGATCTGTCTGATTTTTGAACTCTTAATAACTGCTCATCCAACCTCTCAAATATTTTACTACTTTCCCAATATGTGCCAAACACAAAGAAAGATATAAAATTATATACAAAGTTTCTGGAACCATTGGTGGCAATGGTTTCTTCTTTTAAGCCATCTTTTGCCATGTACATAATACTCAAAGTATTTAAAAACATAGGAGAGTATACAAAAGAAAGGTGTTCTGCAATCCTATTATTCAGAGACATCACTATTTACAAATACTGTGCTCTTTACTTATGAGGACAGGCACATCTGATTGAATCTTACTACTTTACTTTTTTTGTGAGGGGTGATGCTGGGGATTGAACTTAGGGGCACTCAACCACTGAGCCATATGCCTAGTCTTATTTCCTATTTTAGAGAAAGGGCCTCACTTTTGCTGAGGCTGGCTTTGAACTTGTGATCTTCCTGCCTCAGCCTCTGAGCTGCTGGGGTTGCTGGCATGGGCCATCGCGACTGGATCTTTTTTTTCTTTTTTTGGTACTAGAGATTTAACTCAGGAGCATTCAACCTCTGAACCACATCCCTGTTGCAACACACAGCTAAACCAGTCAGGGTCACTCTAAGTGAATTTGGGGAATAAATAAAGACACAGACACAGAAAGTACCTTTTCTTTGGGTTCAGTGATCACTCCTCAGCTGAAGCTCCCACAAGCGGGGCAAGTCAGGCAAGGAAGAGAAAGAGCACACTTCAAACCTGAGTTTTATTGGGGAAGGCTGTTTCATGGAATATTCTATCCCCAAAAGGGCAAAGGGGTAGTATTACAAAGGAATATGTGAGTGTAACTCAACCCTAGTGGTATGATGCCTACACCTGGAGGCATGCCTTGTTATCCAAGCTGGGATAACACCAAGTTTCTGCAACTTGGCATTGCCTTGCCAGATGGCAATAATTGGTCAGAACCCAGTGCATCAGGACTTAAAGGTGTCTGCATCCAGGACAGCTCCTGATACATCCTCAACCCTATTTTTATTTAGAGACAGGGTCTCTCGCTGAATTCCTTAACACTTTGCCATTGCTGAAGCTGGCTTTGAACTCATGATCCTCCTGCCTTGGCCTCCAGAGCTACTGGGAATATCATTTTTGATAGCTACTTATATTTCACTGTATAGCTGTAACCAAGCCATTCTCTGCTGATGAATATTTATCTTGTGTTCAATGATTTTTTTCATTGTGGTGAAAACATAAAATTTACCATCTTAACTATTCACAAGTACAGATAATATGGTTGTGTTAACTGTATACACCTTGTATGTTATAGTAGTATATTTTTTTCTTTTTTACTACTGGGGATTGAACCCAGGGGCACTTTACCACTGAGGTACTGAGTCCTTTTTATTTTTTTGTTTTGAGATAAGGTTTTGCCAAATTGCTTAGCCCTTACTAAATGTCTGACTCTAGTTTCAAATTTGTAATCCTCCTGCTTCAGTGTTCTCAGTTGCTTGGATTACAGGCATGCACCACTACACCCTTTCAGTGGTAAGGAATTGTATGTAACAGATGTCTGGATTTTTTCATCTTTCAAAACTGAAATTCTGTACCCACTAAACAACTTCCCGTTTATTCTCCTTTTTTTTTTTTTTCCTGGTAACCATCTTTCTGCTGTTGACTTTGACTTATCTTATGAAAGTGGAATCATGCAGTGTTTGATTTTTTGTGACTAGTTTTTTTTTTTTACTTAGCATAATATACTCAAGGTTTATTCATGGTCTGGCTTATGATAGGATTTACTTTTAGAGATGAATTCATTGTATGTATATGCCACATTTTCTTTATACATTCATCTGGTGAGTACATTTGGGTTGCTTCTACCTTTTGGCTTTTGTGAATCATTCAAATATATTTTCTAGATTCTGTTTTCAATTATTTTGGATGTAAACTGAGAAGTAGGATCTTTGAATTGTATATTAGACTTTATAAGCAAGACTCATAAGCATTTCTTTTTTGTATACCTGTCTGATTATCTCTTGAATTTTATTTTTCAGAAGTAGAATTATTTAGCCATGAGTACCCGGTAATTCCAAAATTGTTCTCGAGAATGAATGTGCCATTTCATTATGACTATGTTTGAGAAAACCCATTTTTTATCTTTTACTCTCTTTAGTCTGATTGTAAAAAGTGAAAGGGAAAGGAGGAAAACTACCCCATTTACAATAGCCTCAAAACAAAAACTTGGGAATCAACCTAACAAAAGAGGTGAAATGAAAGCTACAAAATGCTAAATTAAAGAGATTAAAGAAGACCTTAGAAGATGGAATGATCTCCCTTGTTCTTAGATAGGCAGATCCAAAAGCATTATGCAGACTTCATGCAATTCCAATCAAAATCCAATGACATTCCTCATAGAAATAGAAAAAGCAGCCATGAAATTCATCTGGAAAAATAAGAGACCCAGAATAGCTAAAGCAATCCTCAGCGAGAAGAGTAAAACAGGTGGCATCACTATACCAGACCTTAAACTATACTACAGAGCAATAGTAACAAACATGTCATGGTTAGGGTTAGGGGGAAAACTGGAAATCCATATGCAACAAAATGAAATTAAACTCCTATCTCTTCACCATGCACAAAACACAACACAAAGTGGATCAGGGACCTAGGAATTAAACCAGAG